ATGGCTGGAATGTTCTTGGCAAAAACAAATAAAACAACCAAGTGGAGGAATGACGAACACATTTCTTACATTCTTATAATTCAATTTACAAAACGGATTAAGTAAGTAGCTTTAGCAAGACTTACCGCCCACTTAGAGAAAGAAGGAATAAGGCCAATTACCACCTTCTGATAATTCTTCTTTGAAAGCCGCAAAACAGGAAAACCGCTCTCAAGGAGGAAGCGATTTGGAAATAAACACATTAACTTCTCACTCTAAGCATAACGGATCGAGGATGAAATACTACGCATATAATCTGACTATTCCTAACTACGGTATTTCCTCGAATAATAGCAGGAGGCAAGAGCCATAATGTCCCGTGTTTCTTGCTGTACAAGATTCATTTCTTTGAGCAGAGCACTGGGGGGAGGAACGCACGAAAGGGGTACCTTTCACAGGCTTCAGGAATATAGGGATTTCATTATTTGAAGCATATGAGAGGGTAGGGAATCTGTCATTTCGGTCCTGATAATTGAAAGACCAGAAAGGGCCAACAGACGCATTTTGTAGATGTTAAAGAGACAGGAAATCTTCCAGGTTTACTGATTCATTCAGATGTAAGAGGCAGTGCATATACAGCAGTTAAAAGAAATGCAATGTTCTAAACTTGGTATGTAAAAGAGATACCTTTTCTTTCAAAAATGGTACATAAAATTGGTACCGGGGGTTAAACCTTCGGCCGGGCGGCCAAGCCTCCCCTTACAAAATTTCCTTGAGTTTCTCCCCGGGGTAGAGCTCGCTTTCAAGATATGCTTTCATTCGGTTCCCTCCTTTCGCTTTGTTTCGCACGAACGTCAATAGTCAAACGTCAACTCCTGGTTTAACCGGTTTACAACAGGGCGAATACCGGCGGATGCAAAAGCAGCAACTTTGGCTGACAGAATCAGGATGTTTTGGATACTCTCATTAGAAAATAGAAGCCAAAATACCATTTTTCTTTTGCAGTAAAATAATTAACCTCTCATTCAAGTAGTTATGAAAACGGGTGTTCGAGCGAGTTTTAGTACCTTACCTCAAACTGAATTAATCGGTGGATTGACGGGAAAAAAAAGTAAAATTCCCATATATGCTTCCGATTTCAAAAGAGAGTATCTTTTCATAAGAGGCTTAAATACGTATTTTAAGTGTTTTACAAAAAAACTAGATTGCTTAAATCATGGTNTTCCCATATATGCTTCCGATTTCAAAAGAGAGTATCTTTTCATAAGAGGCTTAAATACGTATTTTAAGTGTTTTACAAAAAAACTAGATTGCTTAAATCATGGTTTATTTGAAAGTAACATTTCTAATACAATTAAGAAGTATATGAAAAGATTTCTCAGATCACAAGAAAAAGGTAAGTTTAATCATATTAATAATCTTATTATTCCAAATTATGATCTTGATATTATTCGTGATATAATATTTATTAATGAACAGTTTGAAATTTATAAAAGACGTTATGATTTTTTTTGTGATTATAGTATTGATTATGATAATGATAATGATGAGTATTTCGTTGATGGTAAACCTTATCCTGGTTTTAAAGAATTTTATGATATTTTTAAAATGATTTTTAATCAAATAAAATATCACGATTATAACTATTATAATAGTGATAGTGATAGTGATAGAGAGGAATTAGATTTTCCATATACAGAGAGTGACTTTGAATATTTTTTTACTATATTAAATAGTACTTATGAGAGTGATTATTTCTAAACTTATAAATTGATGGATTGAAGGAAAATGTAATTATAAATTAAAAGGTTTTCGTATTCTAATATAATCACATATTAGAAGACGTCATGTCTAACCAGTTAGTTAATGGTTTTAAGGGTTCTCAACCCTTTATAACATATAAAGAATTTCAGAAGTTATCACAGGATAAAATGAGAAATATAATAGAACAGGAAAAAAAAGGACTTAAGAAAGAATATAAGGATTTAAAACAGGGAAAAAGATTGTATAAACAATATAAAAAAATTGGTAGAAGCTAGAAATCAAGTAAAAAAAGGAGTAGATATAAAAAAGAAATTCAAAAAGAAAGCCAAAGCAAAAAAGTTAAAAACATTTGAGGATTATTTTGAGAATTTTATAAAAAATAAAGAGATTCCCAAAGACACACCAGATTATTTACGTAAAGCTCTTGAGAGAGCTTTGTATGAACACGAGCAAGGTATTGAAATAGAAAAATCAGCTCTTGATAAATTTGCTACTAAATATATTTTTGAAGGAATACCTGGTATTAGACCTCCTGAATATTTTAATAGAGTTTTTAGTACTTTAGAAGGAATGTTAAAAAATAATAGAAACGTTAAGTTTAAAATGGTTTTAGTTTGCTTATTTGAAAGAATTAGTGTTAAAACGGATAAAAAAGTAGAAAAATTAGAAGAATATGAAGCATTTTTTAGTACAAGTAATTACAAAAATCTTAAATCTACAAATATAGAAAAATTATTAAAAAAAGGTTTTGGTAAAATTTTAAAAGATGTAGAGGAATTTAATTTAAATTCAAGTGGTTGGGTTTTTAAGGAAGTTTTAAGACTTGAAGTTCATACTGTTGAATATAATCCAACAAAAGGTTCATCTTACATTGATCTTCCAGAATGGATAAAAAATAAACAAGCAATTATTAATATTAAAAATAGAGATGACAAATGCTTTCTTTGGTGTATTCTTAGATATCTTTATCCAAAAGAAAAAGATGCTCAATATTTGAAAGACCTAAGAAAGTATGAGTTTTCACTTAACACTAAAGGTCTTACTTTTCCATTGAAATTAAAAGACATTAAAAAATTTGAAAAACTTAATCCAGAGTTACCAGGAATAAATGTTTTTTCAAATGATGGTATGACTATTTATCCTTTGAGAATGGCTGAGAGAGATTGTAAAAATACTATTGATTTATTTTTGCATGAAGAAGATGGTGTTTCACATTATTCACTTATTAAAAATTTTCATCGTTTGATTAAGTCACAATTAACTAAAAGTAAGGATGGTAAAATATTTATTTGTAAGAGATGTTTTACTCATTTTACTAAAGAAGAATTACTAGAAAAACATATTAAATATTGTTCTAATAAT